ATGGTGTTGAGAATTGGTGAGACTGGCAGGTTAGTGTTGATGGTGATCAATTCTGAATGTCAGCTTCCAATGCTTATAATCCTATGGTTGAAAATGTTTTGTAAATATTTAATTATTTAAAGATGTGTTTGTTTTTCAAGTTGTACACAGAATGCTACCTGGCAGAATAAACACTGAAGTATAAAATTAGTTGTTTTTTTTTATATAGTGTATAAGTATAACAATCAAAAATACAATATCATAATGTGTAAAATGTTTATCTAGTTCTTATCTCAATATGTAGTTTACTTAGAAAAGATTTGTGAATAACTAATACTTATAAGTAACAAATTTCAATATTTAAGATCGACAGTGTAGTAACCACGTATGTTACCGTTCTGGTTGACAATCTCGACTTTTGTAAGTATCAACGATTTTAAAAACTTAAAGCTGGTTAAAGATATTAACTTTATTTTGTTCTCTTCCAGTTACTATTCTGTCTTCATATGATGGTGGAAAACGTAGTTAAACCGAACTTCGGTGTTAAAAAAATCTCAAAGCAGATGCTGCTTAATTAATTAGAAGAATAAAGTTAAAAGAACAAATATGATTATTGTGATTTATAATTCGCTTATCAACCAGATTGTTTGCAATAGTCAGATTAATAAATATGTCTCTGTGGTTCATGAGGGAATCTATGATTCAGGTCTTGTTGCACATTTGACGTTCAAGCTTGAATCAAAATGATTATTTTCAGCGCCTGAAATGTCATCAATTATTACTGTGTAATAAATCAAAATTTTTAGATATTCTATAGTTTGTTTCTGCCTATGTTATTCTCTTTGTGCTAAAACATTCTGTCTAACTTCTTTATAGTGGACTATGCGAAGTATATCGATATTTTTTTTAAATCACTTTGTCAAGAAACTTTTCATAATTTGTATATATAGTAAGTAAATATATGGATATGTTGGGCTAAGAATTCTTCTACAGTAGGCGTCTGTCATGTGTTGACGATAAATTCAAAAATTAACGAACAGCACTCACTCCACTTGTTTTCAAAATAATATATATATTCGGAACTAGTTAATCGTATGTACATCAAATTCTTTACACTATAGAGATTATGGGCATATCATAAACACTATATAGTTCCCTTCTTCTTCTCAAAAGTCCACTTAGGCCTATTAAATTGCTTTAGAATTTCGGTTGACAAATCGAACTATTTTTTATCTATTACTATCGCTAAACTATTCGAGTACAGCTCACTTACTATATTGTCGAGTTACAACGGCTGTATCCCATACTTCTAAAATCGTCTGCTCCTTTTTCTCTCTTTGTATATCCGAGAATCGTCTGTCTATTTGTCAAAGTCCCCTGACAAAGTCTTTCACTAACAGCAACAAGTTATGTTTTATCAATATTTATAGCTTATCTTCTTTCTTGTTGTTTTTATATTATTTATTCTAATTAGCTGTACCTTCATTCTGTTTACTATTTATATAATTCTAATTTCTAATTACCGACACTTTGTTGTTTACCGCATCATGTTAACACGTTGTTTTGTTTACTTTATTAGTGTACATATAGATATATTTTGCAGGTTTCACTAGTTATGGGTTAAGCATGTTCTTATGTTAACCCTCTATGTATGTAGCTTTGTTTTCGTTCCTGTCTCTCATTTTAACGGTAGTAAGTCATTTTGCTATAACTATATATAAGAAATGAATGATTTACAGTTTAACTATTCACTTTAGTATTATTGAAACTATTTTAAACAGCAAAACTTACCATTTTTATGACTTTTTGATAGAACATTCACTTGAAGTACAAACATAAAATACAGTTAAAAATCATAAAACTTCGTGGTTTTAGAGTACATTCTATTTAATATAAAACAACTTTATTCATGCCTTGAACAAAACGTCTACATCGATCACTGAGAAACGGAAACTAACTGAATATAGACATTCTTTTCATTTGTATCTGTGGGTCATTAACACCATTAGAAGCATTTCACTTTGAATCATCGTGACGTGACTGAATATAGACATTCCTTTCATTTGTATCTGTGGGTCATTAACACCATTAGAAGCATTTCACTTTGAATCATCGTGACGTGACTGAATAATTCACGTAAAAGATGGAAAAAGTTGGAGAAGACTTTTGAAATACATAATATTTTCACATCAAATTGAAACAATTCAATCTTACATTGTTCGAACTCTACATAAATTCAAAATAGTAGATAATAATTCTACTTTATTATTAGTACACTTTATAGCGATTCAAACATATATTAGTTTAAATAATTGATAACAAATCAGAAATTCTATGTCTGTATCTTTTCAAATTTAAATTTTTTGTATACTATAATATTTTACCTTCTTACTTCATCAAAGCGTTGAATAGTTTGTACCATTTTTCTATTTGCAAGTATTCATTTAACTACTAATGACATCAATAAACCCCTTAGAGGTGTGTCTTCGTATTTCCAACTCTAGAAACCAAGTTTCGACACCCGAGGTGGGCAGAGCACAGATAACACATCCTATTTTCTGCTACCCCCAGAAATCTTTAAAAGGGGATTCCTTATGAACAGGAAAAAGAAATTGACTCACTAGTCATATCCTCCTCTTTTGCCTTAACATTAGAGCTTTTTAGTTTGGCAAAGCCAAGAATTTCGACCTAGCTATACCACATTCATCTGTCAATCGAAAGTGGTATAAAAGATGAGAGGGGCATCAGATTTTACTCAAATATTTAATGCATTATAACATGTTGTAGAAAAATATGAAAAGAAGTAACCAATAAATTTATTTGTGCTTTAATGTTTGATGAAATGGCCATACGAAAACATGTAAAGTGTGTTAAAACGAAATTTTTAAGCTATGTTGATTTTAGTGACTCTACAGAAGACAATACATCTGCTGTGCCGGTGATGTAGTGGCGTTTATGGTTGTTTCTTAAACAGCGCTTGGATGGTGCCTGTTGGCAATTTATTTATTAATGACGTGACAGGAGAAGAACGAGGTAACTTGGTGAGAATATGCCTATAAAACTGTCAGATGCTGAGATTACAACTATGGCATTTGTTTGTGATAGTCAGAGTTGCCACTTCTATTTCTTCAAAGAACTGGGTGCCAATACGTTCACCAGAAATCTTTCAGACATACATTTATCCACCCTAGCAACCAAAATGTCCTATTTTATATATGCCACATGCTAAGGCTCATTTGAAACGCTTTTGCACAAGAAGAAATTTTACCAATTGGAGATGGTGAATATATTAAACGATAGTTCATTACTGGTTTGCACAAACTGCAAGAAAAAGAAGGCTTACACATAGGAAAAATATTATAGTCAATGCATGTTCAGTGGCAGAAGCAAAAAATGAAAATTAACTTTACAGCACAAACTTTAAGTTCAATTGTGACAAATGCCATTGAACTTTGTAACAAAGACTTAAACATACTTGAGTTTAAGGGAATTGAGCCTACAGTTAAATTTACAAAAACATTTGATAGATTCTTTCATTTGTTCAACTCCACAGATCCATTAGCTGAAAACCGCAAGAGTCCAATGAGAATTTCCAATAAGTAATTTTGGAAACATTTTCTGTTACAAAACAAAATTTCATACATCAGTTAGCAGGCATTGTTGGGCAACGAATACGAGTTGAGTTTTTAACTACAATCAAGTCTATGTAACATTGATACCAAACTTTATTGTCACCATCTTCACTCTCCATGAAATATCGTTTGACGTACATGTTAAGCCAGGATCACTTGAAATGAGGCTATTGCTAGGTTCTCTTGTGGTTGTGATAACAACCCTACAGTTCGTAAGCTCACGGTTGCACATAAACGATTGTTCTTGCATCATGCAATAAAACCAGCAGGAAACTGTACTGCCCAGGATGAAATATCAATTTTGCATGTCATGAAAGGTCACGTGGCATGTTATAGTGGTTCTACACATGTGTTTGATACACAGGTACGATCTTGATGTACGCACGCAGGATGACCATGATTATGAAGATAGGCCAAACTGCAGACCCTTTACTCCTTTCAAGGAAGCAGCCATTGGATACATACCTGGTTATGTAATCAACGTAGCACAAAAGATAATTCATTGTTAAGATTTTTAGGAACCCTTGACAGATGAAAATACTAAAAGCTTTCCCAGGTTACAACAAAGAAAACAATAGAGGAGGTTTGGTAAAGTGTAATCAGAGTATGTCAGTCATCAGAAAATTGTCCCTAGAGACTCCTGTAGTGAACAAATGGTGAACTTTGTCAAGCAAGTACAATCAGTCTTGGAACACAGATTTGTGTTTGAAAAGAAGTGGATTTCTATGGAGTTTTCTCTGGTTTAAATGGGCACATGCTTTAGATAATCATGTTTTCAGTTTGATAAAGTTTTAATTATGTGTTATATAAAAATACGAATGTCTCACCTTGCTCAACAACAGCTTTTAAAAGTTGCAGGTAAGAAAGTGAAAAAAATCATTCTAAGTTACTTTTATTTAATCATCAGTAGTTTGAAATGATAAATAAAAATGTTTGTACAACATCTAAACCATATAGAGCACTACATTACAAACTTTTCAATGTATAAAGAACATTTATCAACTAATTATCTTACAAGTTGTGACATTAAACGTAAACAAATTCAGCAGTTTTTGCACTTTATTAGCCTACTTGTATAAATATATCCTATTCAAAGTAACAGTTTTAAGTTGTATTGATGAACGATGAACTACAGCACTTAATAGTTTTGTGCTATTTCAATATCAATACTTGTATTGTGTTTATATTGTACTTTCTACTTTACCACAGACGTGTAAAGCTTATACCAAAATTTGTCACATTTTTTATTAATAATATAATATATATTTAAACCAAAGAAATTTTGTCAGCTCTTTTTATTTTAACAATGTCATTTATACAAACAAATATTTTGACATATTTTCTTTTCATAGTTACTACAAAAACTGAAACATAATATATAAATAAATTAAAATGTATGTAGTGAATTGACAAAAAATACCGTAAAAATTAAGAGCATCACAATTGAATTAGTGAAATGAATACAAAACATTCAACCATATCTTGGATACGTTGTTAGTGTTACACTCGGCAATCCAGGGAACTGCAATATGGCTACCGCTTAACGTTAAGTGTCAATACATTGACAATAGCCAATGAGCACTCCAGATCAGTGCCCCCTCCCCCAGTGGCACAGCGGCATGTCTGCAGACTTACAACGCTAGAAAGTGGGTTTCGATACCCGTGGTGGGAAGAGCATAGATATCCCATTGTGTAGCTTTGTGCTTAACTACAAACAAACAAACCAGATCAGCAATTAATTCCTTTGGTAGTTTTTTGGTTTATAAATCATATATTATTTCATAAAATATAAAAAAATGAAAATGCTATATTTCAACTGAAATCTAGCTGTAGAAAAGATCCAAATATTCCATTGTATAAGTATAGAATTATTACATTAAAGTTTTTAAAGTCTCTTATGATAGTTGAATAGTCATGAAAGAATTTAATAAGAAAGATTAAGAACATACTAATAAAACCAAAACAGTTTTTCACGTGGTCATTGTAAATGCTTTTACACGAAAACCTTCATTTGATGGAACTATTAAATTATTTGGTACAAGTAATTACGAAACAGTCTTTGGCCCAATCAAAATGACTGGTTAATTTATCTGGAACTTACATTACCCGAGAAGTCTGTGACAACGAGACCATGCAATTATTGCACACAAACAGCTACTGGTACTATAACAACCAACTGTGATTCAAGTCTGTGACAACGAGACCATGCAATTATTGCACACAAACAGCTACTGGTACTATAAAAACCAACTCTGATTCGAAAAGTTCTAATTTAATTCGTAGAATGATGAATTCGTAAAAGGAAATTCGAACGTTTTCTATCACACTCCTAACATTTCGAAATTGGTAAATATCTCGATAATAAATTGGTCTTTTATAAGTAAGGATGGTCCAGCAGCTAAAAATATAATACTCGAACATTTTTCAGGTTTCGCCAGCATAAAGAAACACAAAAAACAACAACAGTAATTCAAGTACTGTGGTTAAAATTTCAATATAATTTGCTTGAGAGTTTACAGTGGGGTTTGTGTCTACATTCTGATGAAGATAGCGACATTGGAGAAACTTTACGTCTGTCTTCTGATGTAGACAACAACATCAAGCGAGATCTAATGCGATGTAGAAGGGGTGTAGCATCTCCACTTGTATTTTTCTCTGTTGAAGATTTAGAGTCAGATTCTAGAACTTGTAATGTAGAAATGCCACTACGTTCAGAAACAGTTCTTGAATTCTTTTGAAAACTTTGTTCTTTGTGAGTTAAAGAAACTGTTGTTTGGGGTGACAGTTGAAAACCCAATGTGTAAGTGCCGGAATGATTTTCCTGGCTCTTAAGTATAGTCAAACATTTCCCGAGGTCATTAGCTTTATAGCCATCACTCAAAATCGATTTACTGTTTGAGAAGACGCGTGATTGATTTGGTTTTAAAATCGCTGCGAAATCAAAATGGCCGAAAGATCGAGAGTTTCTTCTAGACGGTTTCTCTTTATAAATTTTGGTCAAATCTGGCTGAGATTGTGTCAGTTCAGACAAATTCATAACTAGCAAATTATTGATTGACGAAGCAGTGATTGCTGACGAAGAGCGACGAGAAATTAAGTTATTCTGGTCTGAATCTTCAGCCTGCTTCAACGAATTTCCTGCACAAATCATTGCAGAATAGCCTCTCACAAGCGATGAATTTTTATCAATTTCATAAGATGTTGAAGGACGTACTTCATCTTGATCTTTTTTTATAATTTCGTAGAAAGATTTATCTATACAACGACATGATGGAGCGTCAAGCAGAAGTCTTGGTATTTGTCTTGATACTGAAGAACCAGGGCATAAACAATCACCATCACAATTGCATCTGTAATGGGTTGTAACTTTTGTTGTGGGTTTTGGGACATCATAAATTCCAAAGATTGAGGTGGTGGACGTACTGTTGGCAGAATATTTATGCCCTAGACGCCACTCAGCTTGACCTTCTGAAGTTAAATTCTCAGGACAACCAAATCCACATGGGTCAAGATGATCAAACTCAGATTCGGAAATGTTGGCGCATTCGTCTGGTAGTATATTATGCATTCCTTGGCTAAGACTGACAGAAGGTGTCGTACGTTTTTCAACTGTAGAAATAGAATTAGCAGAAATCTCTTTGGTATCCTCTTCCGGTCCCCTTTCACTAGTAGCTGAATATGGAGGTAAAGGTAAAGAATCTGTAAGAACTGATCTATGACATCCTCCAGTTTGATCGACTTGTAGAACCTGAGACGTTTCCATTTCTTGGTCAGTCGGACTGTCAGACACATAGGCAACATTATCAATCGCGAATAAATTTCCAGAAACTTCTCTAAGACTTCTTTCCTGGTTAAGGCGATTCCCAAAAACACTAGTGTAGGTTGGTGGCGGTGACAAATAAAATTTTAAAACATCTTCATAAGACGGCGGAGGGTCGTAACGTGGAGGATCTGACATCACAATAAGACGACTTGTTATTCGACTCTGATCTGCAAAGTTCAGATATACTGTTATTTGTGTTATTAATACGTACAATCGCCATATGTATCTAAACATTAGTTACACAAAAAAAATCTTATTATACCCTTCCAAAAGCTATAATACATTTACTCTCAAATATTAAGTGTAAAACCCAATCTAATAGCGACATTTTTAAACTTCCGCCCCAAGTGGTTCAGCCACAAGTCTGAGGGCTTTCAACAAATATATAAATATATGTAAGCGACCATTATCGGCAACCCTCTAACAGTTATAGTTCAAATTTGTTTAAAAACGAAAATTTTTTCATACTAATAGTTGTTTACTTTTTTTTCTTTAGACATACAAAGAATCATAACTTCTATTCAATCTTCATTGTGATGAGTTGTTGGTGAACAAACATTTCAGAAAATATTTGTTTTTTGTAACGCTTTGAAAACTAGAAAAGCAATTTAGCAAGAAATTACATACACTATTACCAAGGCCAATCACAGATATTGATATTTTATTTGTATGTATGTTTTATATGCATCTTGTTGTTGTTGTATTATCAAAAAATTCTCAATTAAGATAATGCACATATTAAAGTTTATTTTACAATCACTATTATGTCCCACAGCAACAAAACAAGAAACTAATACGTTTACATACGGTGGCTAGTATTTTTTTCAATTTTCGCAGAAAACAAGTATATTCAATTAAGCAGCTCTGTCACTGTTCTTATAACCTAGACATAATAAAACTATAAAAATCTGTTACTTGCCAATTTCCCCACTGATTGTGCGGAGACTTCCTCTGGTGGCATCTGCATCGGATCGTTTCTTGTGAAGCTTCACCAAAATCATTATCGTGGTTAAGATAAATATTCCAATTCCAGCTAAGCAAGCTATCAAGACTATAGTATTGTTTCCTCCTTCTGAGATTTTAGCGTGCTTAGGAAAATAGTAGTTTGGGGTCAAGATTTCCCACCAGTCGCTATCCGATGAACTTGTTAAGCCTTTATGTCCTACAGATAGAATGTGATAGTTCTCTTGAGGTTGACTTTTCATTTCATTACTACTGACATCGTTTAATTTATTTATTTTGATTCAAATAATGTCGTATACAGACTGTTCCCAAAATTTTCTTTATGCTTAAGCTTTTGACCATGCTTCTTTAAATTTGATAGGGTATTTTTTCTCATGGATAATGGCCTCTAGACGGCCGAAAGCTTAAATATAATGCAAATGAACATTGCTAATTATTTGTTATGGTAACTGAAGTGTTCCCAATTTTTTTCCGTAACCTCGACGTTTATTGAGTTAATTTGGAAACCATGTAAAGATATGTAATTATACTAACATAAAAAATGAGTTGTATAAAAAACACTTAAATATTTAAAAGTAAAAATCAATTACCTTTTACTATTTGCATTTTAAATGTTGTAAGTAATCATTTCTCACTGTTAGAGATGAAACGTTGTAGAAAATGAATCTATTATCCCATGAATATGACCTTTTATTATCTTCGTTTGGTTTTACATCAGTCCTTTATTTGTATATTAGGGTTACAAGCATCCACTGATTTATGAAAAGAAATTTTTTTTAGAGTTACCTAATGGTAAAAATGGCTGAATATTATTGCTTCTAAAGACCGTGCTATCTTATGTATGAATTATTTTCTTTCTACTTTCATATATTTTCTCGGCAACAGATTTATATAGAAATAATACTTTGTTGTAATGTCAAGAAGATTGATACATATACATCTAGATTTATAGCAACTTTTAGTTCCATCAGGCTGGGCTGTACAGGCTATAAGGACTCTCTTCCAGCAGACGGAGTTCATGTATAGAACTTATTTCGCAGTTTACTTATATTAAAGCTATATGTTAAACGTAGAGATGTATACACAGAAATGTTTCAATCCAGTCATACGACGAAATTATCAGATGAATCATACCAACTATGGGCTAGTATTGGTATGGCCAGACTGTGGATCCTAAGTTTCTTGGTTCATGTTTTGTTGCCGCGAAAATGAGAGCTCCGCACTTTAGGAACAAAGGTGAACTGTATAATAACAGTCAAATTCAACAGTGAGAAATAGCTGAAGATCTGGCAATAGGTGCCGTTAACTTAGCTGTCTTTCTTGTAGTCTATCAGTTAAAAGTTACGTTCAACTATGAACAGACAGATCTTGTGTAGCTTTACGCGAAAATTCTAAAATAAAACATATGTGACGCATGTGGATCAAGAAATGTACTCAATAATAGGAAGGTCGGAGAATGCAAAACCAAAAGTATGTTGATTTCCTTCTTTTGTTTATATACACCTGGAAAAAAGTTAAGCACCCCCGTGTTTTTTTCAAGTGATTCAGATTCGACGTTCTTGTGACTGATTATAAATTA